TCGGCACTTTTCAGTCGATTCTCTACACTGATTTTTGGCGCAACACTGCCCACAGGTTCTAAACAAGTTTTTGTCAATTTAGTTAAAAATGAGTGAAAAAAGCTAATCTAGAAATCTGCCTGAATGGTTTGGGATTACCTAAACGATGGCACCGGGTAAGATTGAGCTGGACAAAAGAGGGTCAAGGTGGCTTTGGACAGTGCCCCCGCGTCCTTAAGTCGCTCACCCACACTGATTTTAGGACCTACACTGGCCACAGGCTCTAAAAGAAAATTATTTATGACAATCAACGAATCAACTCTTCAAATAAAAACTGCCTGAGGAATATTGGTGCGGGTCTCACCTGAATGCCGGTACTGGATAGGATTGCGCCGGACAAAATATGCTCAAGTCTCCCTGCTGGGGAACTTCGGCATCTTTGCGACGCTCACCAACACTAATTTTGGGAGGTACGCTGCCGACAGGCTCTATAATCAACAGGGAAAGCGAGAGGTGAGGACCACAAACCTAAGCCAACTTTGAAAACTGCCCAAGTTACTCGACAATAATAAAATTTACCTGTCACTCAAATAAGTTTTGTGAGGAGTGGGGACCTTGTCTCAGGTTTGCGTGACACTGAGTGGGTTAAATCGAGCGGAAGTTCTGGACACAAAGCTAATTAGAGTTTGCAGCCAATGAGGCTTGGTGACCTAATCTCGGCTCACTTGTAATTGGAAAACTTTGGACAAGCCGAATAATTCGACGGCTTGTAGATATTGGCAACAAGTTACCTATAGAAAGGCACGGGGTAGGCTTGAGCAGGGCAGAAAATGGCTATTGTCCTGCCCCGTCGGATGCTGTCGTGGCTGAATCCGTCCTTTTTATTGACACGTGGCGCCACGCTGCCCACAGGCTCTAGAGTTTTGGGTATGGGGATTATCAAGACTAATAACAAACTGCCTTAACGTAATGAGGAACTAGAATCTCGACAATGACCCACCTATAAAAGGGCACTGGAAAGGATTGGGCAGGACAACGGAGTGCCACAATGCCACCATTGGCGATTCGATCGTGGCTAAACTCATCGTTTTTGTTCACTTTGGGCGCTACACTTCCAACAGGCTCTAAAATGTTTATTTAATGTAAAACCCATTTAGCCAATGAAAACTACCAGAGGATGGAAGCCTGGGCACTCGACATTACCTATAAACAGGCACTGGATATGATTGAGCAGGACACTGAATGGCAATGGTCTTATAGCTTTTGATGCGATCGTGATTAAACTCATCCTTTCGATTAACTCTCGGCGCAACACTACCGATCGGTTCTGTGAGAGGTTTGGTATTAGTTTTATTTCAAATAATCTGACTGAATGGGTTTACGTACAGGACAACGTGTATTTAGGACTTTACCTATAGGCTGGGACTGGATATGATTGAGCTGGGCAAAGTAAAGCCAGTGAGCCATTAGACTTGGCCACAAAAATGCCCACTTTATCTTTAATTTCAACTTTAGGCGCGACACTGCCAACGGGTTCTGAAATTATAGGTTCCAAAGTCTAAAGCAGTCTTCTTAAAAGGAAAACCTGATCTGATGGGCAGTACTCAACAATGTTTTTACCTAAAAGCTGGCATTGGATATCCCTGAGCCTTGCATAATAAGTTCAGTGAGTTTTTCGAGGCTCTGATATTAACACCAAATTTATCCTGCATATCAACTTTGGGCGCCACACTGCCAACAGGCTCTGAAAATGACGTTTTAATGAATGGCCAACACTAAAAGCCTGATATGTTAGGAGGTTCTCAACAATTTCTTTACCTAAACGCTGGCATGGGGAAGCCTTGAGCCTTGCAGAACAAATTCAAGGACTTATTCGAGTTTCTAATCGTAAAGTCCATCTTATCGTGCATATCGACCTTGGGCGCCACACTGCCCACGGGTTCTGAAATCGATTGTGAGATAGTGGCTTAGAAATCCAGTCTTAACTAACGAAAACTGCCTGAGAAAGGGGAACTCAAAAGAATTCCTACCTATATGCTGGCATGGGATACGATTGAGCTGGACACAGCAGGTTCAAAGCCCGACCACGAGGTTTGTCTAACCAAGTTATTCGGTCTTTTACATCCACTTTGGGAGCGACACTGCCCACAGGCTCTGCAAATAATATAAGTAACTTATAACATCCTACAGTGCTACCTAAAATCTATGTCCTTTTAAGAAAACTGCCTGAGCTGAAAGCTTACCGGGCACTTGGCATGGGAAATGACTGAGCTGGGCAAAGCAAATTTAGGGAGGTGCCTTCTGGTTTGTCAATCCACTTGATCCGGTCGTTGGGATCCACTTTGGGAGCTACACTGCCCACAGGCTCTATGAAGATTTATCATGAGGTTGTATTCCCTTAACTCTTGATAAGCTGTCTAAATGTTGGGGCAAACCTTTAAGCCACTCACCGAAAGGCAGGCACTGGATAAGACTGAGCTGGACAAACTATCGAAAGACTCTCACCCAAAGCTGCACGAGCGTAGTTAATCTCGTCTTTTATATCAACTTTGGGCGCCACACTACCAACAGGTTCTAGGAAAGAGTTCATATTTGAGCTGACATCGAAATGTAAGCCTGAATGTTGGTCTAGGCTATTACCTAAAGAACGGCATGGGGTACGACTGAGCAGGACAAATAAGAGCCTTGGACGATCCCGAACGAGTCCTGGCAAATGTAAACTCATCGCGAGTATCCACTTTGGGTGCAACTGAGCCCACGGGTTCTGATTTACAAATAAAACTCTCGTTAGTTATATCTCAATTTTAACTGAATGTTGGTCAAGGGTATCGGAGATAACCTAACGATGGGCACTGGGTATGCCTGGCCAGGACATTGCATGGAAAAATCCTCTGACAGCTTCACTTGCAGCACTTGAAACTTATCGTGCAGACTTGTAATCTTGGGCGGAACAGATCCAATAGGCTCTAAATATTCAAAGAAATCTAATTTAGGTGCAATATTCTAAAAAAATAAAAACCACCTGAAATGCTGGAATGGAAGGACACCCACCTAACAACCGGAACAGGATATGCTTGCCCTGGACATTGCATGGAAAAGTCGCTTTCCAATTGAACCTGCACCAGTTGGAACTTATCGTTGATGTTGTTGATTTTCGGTGGCACTGAGCCAATGGGTTCTAAAACATTTTAGTACAATAAAAATCTTGAGAAACCTACAGCTAAGATCTGTCTGAATTGAAGTTGGGATAGGTTTACCTATTTATGGGCACGGGAAAAGCCTGACCAGGACACTGCATTGCATATGTAGCCCCCAAGGCAACCTCCATTGTGCGAACTCTTTCTAGGAGATTTAACTTTGGAGGCACAGAAGCCACGGGTTCTATGGGGAATATAATAAATTAGAGGATTCAATAGTAGCCAAAATATCCAAAACAAAGTATTGAAAGCTGCGCTGCATGTTGAGCAAGATTGATTTAAAATAAAACAGGACCTTTTGGCTGTTACCTTACCTATAAACGGGAATGGGAAACGACTGGGCTGGACACTTGAGGCTCAAACTCCTGCCCACATAACCACGGGCATTGGCCACCTCGTCGTCTATGCTAACTTTTGGGGGCACACTGCCAATGGGCTCTGAAAAAGGAATCAAAGGCTGAAGTAACCGAACAACCCCATTTTTAACTGACTGAACTGGGATAGTCCTAGTAGATTAAATTGCATTGGCTAAAATTCGGAGAACGCCCTGTAAATTGTAAAGTGTCCCAAATTGATGGCATGCAATGCGAACCTGTGGGCAGGCATCGGATACGACTGCGCAGGACATAGCAAAGCGAATCCTTTGCCCGAGGATATCTCGCGTGTCTGCAGCTTGTCCTGGACATTTATTTTCGGCTTGACGGAGCCAACGGGTTCTACGAGCAAAGTATGGAGAGAGTCACGGTAAAGCTAGGAAAACTGCCTGATGTTGGGGGAAAGGAAAACCCACCTGAAGGATGGCGTTGGGAAAGACTGAGCCATGCAAAGCAGCGAATAACTGCTGGAAAGCTCCACATCTATGAACTGGTGCTTGTCTTGTGGATTCACTTTGGGACGGACACTGCCAACGGGTTCTATACATTTAAGGAATCAAAAACTTAAGGTGCAACTGACTGAATGCATTTGGAAAGGGGAAGCCTTGCGAAATCTTACTTGAAAACAGGCATGGGATACGATTGAACCGGACACTGAATGTTGAAACTTGTGCCGCTCTGAACCTGCATCATTTTAAAACGCTCCAGAAAATTCAACTTGGGCGCCACACTACCAACGGGTTCTATAAAGGGGCAAATTTTAAGCTATCCCGGCGACCTCCGAAATATGTAACTAACCAAAACCTGAATGTTGGACTGAGTATACTAAATTTACCTAGAAATTGGCTGAGGATACGCTTGAGCTGGGCACAGAAGACTCAAACTATGCAATGTTTTGACCTTCACGTGTTTCAGGTCGTCGGAATTTGTAATCTTAGGACTGACGCTACCAATAGGTTCTGCAAGAGAACATTTCAGTTTCTGAAAAGTCTGCTAAGCTAATTGGAAACTGCCCAAAGGGACGATTTTAACAAAACATTCACCTAAAAAAAGGCTGGGGATACGCTTGAGCTGGACAAAGTAAGCTCAAATCTTGACCTCTCTTTCCCTTCACATGCTTTAAGTCTTCACCCGTATTGATTTTGGGACTGACACTGCCAACGGGTTCTAGAAATAAATTATGGCGTTTGAGAGACTAGCAAAAATTCTAGGTTAAACTGCCTGATGTGGGACAGAAATTTACCTATAGACGGGCACTGGATAAGCTTGAGCTGGACAAAGAAGAGTTACACTGGCCTCGAGTTTAACCTTCACCGTTCGCGAATCATCGCCAGACGTGAGCTTTGGACCAACACTGCCAACGGGCTCTAAAATAGGTAATCGAAAACGAATAAGCCTCGATAAATCTGACCACCTGCCTGAAGTTTGGGATATGGACTAGGAAATTTACCTAAAAAAGGGCACTGGGTAGGCTTGAGCCGGGCACATCAGAGTTACACTTCCCATCGTAGGAACCCGAGTGAGAGTTATGTGCTCCTGATTGCCATTGCCATTTAGCTGGGGACTGACACTGCCGACAGGCTCTATCGAAAATATAATGTTACAAGGTCGGAAGTGAAGTCTGTTCAACAGCCTTAATGTTGGGTTGGGTTACCTAAAGAAGGGCACTGGGTATGCCTGAGCTGGACAAAGAAGCGTGGCACTTGCTGCCAGATAAACTCTGAGAATCCGCGACTCATCTCCGCTGGTTAAACGGGGACCAATACTGCCAACAGGCTCTGGGAAATGGATTCAATAACCCATTAGTATATCTCGAAAGGAACACCTTCAGTTGGGATAGGCGGATGTCTTACCTAAAGACTGGCACTGGATACGACTGAGCTGGGCACAATAAAGTGGTGGCTTGGCCAGCGGAAAACTGAACCACTTTAATGTCGTTCCCAGAAAGAAGTCTGGGTCCAACGCTCGCAATGGGTTCTTGAAAGATTTCAAGGGGGGATGCAGATTATAGAATGGGATTTCTTACAAGTCTCAATTGGAAACTGGTGCTAGTTGGTCTGGGCCAGAATAGATTTATTAATCCTACCTAAACAAGGGGGCTGGATAGGCCTGTGCGGGGCAGAGAAGGGTTTGACTAGAGCCTTCATTCCCCGTGAAACTGCTGCTCGTCAGAGTATTGGGAAACTTGGGTGAAACCCTGCCAACTGGTTCTGTGGATAAAGCGAAATTTATAAAGGTTAAAGACCTTACAAATAATGCCAATAAATAATGATAGAACAGATGAGCTGTTGAGTGACTTACCTTGGGCGCAGTTCGAAAGAGCATAATAAGTGAAATTTGCCAAGTAATTGGACTTGAATTATAGTTTAACTGTTACGTTGCCTTTAATTTGGATTAGTTGAGAACGGACCACACCTACTCTAATCGGCTTTATTTCAAGCTCTCATCATTGTCGAGTACCCTATCCCAACATTCAGGCAGTTTTCAATTTAGACTTATGCTAAAGCAACAAGTTTTTGTTTAAGGCCATAAGTGGGCCAGCTATTTTTAAAAGTATACTTTTCATTGCAGCATACATATGTTTCGCATAGAGATGTTAATTTATTGGGCGCAAAGAAATAGATTTTAAGCTAAAAATCTTTTTGATTGCACTAAAAAATTGTTGCTTTATTATATTATGTGCGAAAGATTTATTTGGAAACTCCAGTCGCAGAGATTTTGTAAACGTTTCCATTCATCCAAGTGCAATTTCCAAATAAAAAACTTAAGATGTTTTGAACAACTAATATTGGAAATAAGCTTAAATTTTTTTGTAGTAGATAATTTTTGGATACTCTCTTCAATGAGGGCGTAATTCTTATTTATTTTGTTAATTGATGACCTTTTTATTCAAAACAACAATTTGAATTAATGAAAGAATTTAAAAGTGTATGGGGCTATTTCCAACATTTGTTGTTCTTTTCAAAATAGTTACAAATGGAGTTGTAACTACTCTGATCAGACTAACGGAGAGTAAGCTTCAAATAATATATTTCACAGATATTTTTAATTTAAAATTCAATATTTAAGTAAAGTTGAATGACATAGTTTTAAAAATGTTGTATGGCACCATTTGAAACTTACTCTACAGTAAGAAAACTTCAGCTATCGGGGTTTTTTAATCCACCAATGTTGGTTTTTTTCTTTAACATAAAATTTGAAAATATAAATAACTGAAGTTTCCTTGCTCGACGCGTGTAAAAATATTGGCCAACAGGGCGGACTTACCTGTGATAACCAAACGTCCTTTCGTGGCACTTAATCGTGTTTCTCCTGTCAGACGATGTTTGGTTCGGCACTGGTAGCTTTTGTATCCATCCTCGGGTCCAACTTCACGGATGTGCAATTCTCCAGAGGGCAGCACCAGATATTTTCCATCTGATTACGTAATGTTTCAGATAGAAGCAATTATAAAACATATATGTTAGTAATGTGCCAGCATTCGTTGCAAATTAACTTTATTTACACTTAATACTTTTGAAAAAAGTCAATTAACCAACGTGCATTTAATTGAATTTATTCCCAGTAAATTTGAAAGCCACATGGCATTTTAATTCCTTCGGTTAAATTTTTGTTTTATTTCTCGTTGCGCAAAAAGTTTTTGACTAATTTTTGGCCATGCGACGTGACTTTCAAATGATTAAAACTAAGTCTTGAGGTGAAACTGAAGGAAAAGTTATATTTAACTAGGTTGAACAATTTTTAATTTCTACAATTGTGTTTGAAGACACTGTTTAGTGGGTAAGTTCAATTATTCGAGTTCTCCTTCAGTTTTATTTTAAGAACTTTGTTGAAATTTCGATTTTATTGCAATCTTGTTTTGATAGAATCGATTTTATTTCAACAGAATTCGATGCTTAAAATTAAACTATACACCAGCAATGCAAGGAACGTGTGGAATAAACAAGACGGAATGATTTATCGTAATCTATTTACACGATTGATTAGAATAACATTTACATTTCTGATCGATTGCGGGTTCTTCTATTTCGATATTCCACAATTTCCCTGGCACTACTATTTTATTCTATACATGCACCGACAAAAATGCCAATAATCTTATATTATATGTGGATTACATATTATGTATATACTTGTGATATATACAACAATGTTTGGATTATTAAATTGAAATGAAGAGTATGTACATATTGTTAGGCGATTGACTGTTTATTAGCATTTTTGTATGTATTTACACTACGCTAATTTATCAACGCTACGTTCAACTACATGAAGGGGTTTCGGTTTCTTCGGGCAAGTCAGGAGCGACTCATGGATTGTGGGAAGGGAAAACTAATAAGAGGCTGGGGTGGGGAAATAAAAAAGAAAATAAAAAGGAAAGTCGGACAGAAAGAAAGAAAGACGAACTGAAGGCGAATCGAAAGCCTAAGCAGCGCTGAATGAGAAAGAGATTCCTTCGGGGGATCCATTGAGACCAGATCGAAACCAATCGAAGCAAACCGAGTTGGATAGGACACGCGGGATATTACGGAGGAGTGAGTGGGCAATGCGAGAGCTCTTAGTCTGTTAATTTACCGCTTTCCGCGATATCCTCCTGGGGATAGATAACTCGCTCCTCGTCCTCCACCCACGAATCGACCACTATGAAATCGGCCACGAAACTGGGTATGTGGCACTTTAGGATGGCGCTATTGCCCCTCAGAATGGACTCGTCCATGACATTGACGGTGTAGGATTGTGGCACAACTGCAAGTTTACGGAGAGATTGATTGAGTGGGAAGTGGGAGTAAAATAATAAGGATAAAAGTGGCGTCGACTAGGGGATCCCCATTCATGTGGCTAAGCGAATCGGATAAGTCTACGGAACTCTGGGTCCTAGGTCCTACCAGTTATGTTCTTCGTGAAGACCTCGCCCTCGGTATCGATCCAATCGGTTATGTCTATGTGATCCGCCACAAAGGAGGGCGTTTGGCACTTGAAAATAGCAGCGTTGCCCTTGATCACATACTCGTCGTAGACCTGTGACTCGAAAAACTGCTTTACCACTGCAAGACGGGAAGTGTGAAACTAAAATCAGGGCAGGGAAGGATCTGTGGGGTGGAAGGTTCCTACTCTAACCAAGCTTATACCGAAGTTATCAACGGTTACCCATGGAGTCGTCTGGAAGGGGCCTGAGTATCTCAACGCCCTCCTCGTCAATCCAGCCCTCTACATCGATGAAATCTGCCACGAACGAAGGCACCAGGCACTTTAAAGTGGCAGAGTTGCCACGGAGCACAAACTCATCGATGACACGTGTCTGGTAGAACTGGTGGACAACTGAAGAAAATGAGAGCGAACTTGGTGAAATAAAAACTTAAGGACATGGGGAATAGGTTGCTGGATATTGGGGTCAGAGCCGCCTAGGAAAACTATAGAAAGGAAAGCTGGCCAAGTACCCGTCTCCTCGGCATTGTTGGGATAGTAGTTGCGACCCTCCGAGTCCAGCCAGAGATCGACCAACACAAAGTCCGCCACGAACGAGGGAATCTCGCACTTCATCACCACCGAGTTCCCCCTAATGACGTACTCATTGTCTGCCTCCGATTCGTAGCTTTGAATCACCACTGAGCCAAGAGAATAAAAAAAAATCAAGCGTGAAAAATTGGTTGGGAATATCAGAGGGGTGGAGGCTAAAACCTATTGCAACACTTATGCGAACAAAAATATGTTTTGATTAGACTGTACCATAGGCGCTGGTGGCATTGTTGCGCCACAACTCAATGCCCTCCTCGTCCACCCAGGCTTCTACCTGGACGAAATCGGCCACGAACGAGGGAATTTTACACTTGACCACCGCCGCGTTGCCTTTAATCACATACTCATTCTCGGCCTCGGTTATGTAGAACTGTGAAACGACTTTGAATCGAAGAAAATAATAAATTAAAGTAGGGAAAGCGAGGAAGCGTGGAATTCTGGGAATGAAATGGGTGAAATCACTAAATTAAGCCTAAAACTATGAGAAAAACACTGTGGATCGCACCATAGTTGTCCGAAAAGGACAAGACATTGCCCTCGTCATCGATCCATGACTCCACACGAACAAAATCGGCCACAAATGAAGGAATCGAACACTTAAGAACGGCAGCATTTCCCCTGATCACATACTCGGTCATAATCTCTGCCTCATAAAACTGATTGACAACTGCAAAAGGTGTGCAATAATGAAAAGATATAGAAAAGATAATGGTAGGATTGGAAAGGAATGAAACCCCCACAAGGTGTTGCCGTAGAAGTACTTTATAATCTGTTCCAATACCATAATTCTCAGAGGGACGCAGCTCGGTTCCCTCTTCATCTATCCAGGATTCGACCCTCACAAAATCCGCCACAAACGATGGAATGGAACATTTGAGAACCGCCGCATTGCCCCTAATGACATACTCCATCAGAATATCGGCGCCGTAAAATTGATTCACAACTGCGGTTCGAGAAAGTTCAAAGATCGGAAATTAAACAGAAGTTTTAAGCAGTTTGAATTGGGAAAGGAATGGGGTTCCTGCTTAAGGCTAAGTCTTCTTAACTACTTCAGCGGGTGATGACTGTACCAAAATCCTCCTCCGGAGCGTACTCAGTGCCATCACTGGCCACCCAAGCCTCCACTCGCAGAAAATCGGCCACAAAACTGGGAATAGTGCACTTTAGTACAGCAGTATTTCCTCGGATAACGTACTCGGAAACAACCTCAGCCTCGTAATACTGATTCACGACTGTAAAGCAAGAGTTTTTATGAGGAGCAAACGAAAAGAAATGAAATTGCTAAGATGGAATAGTGATGGGTGTGGTGGTGGCGGGATGGGGCTTGGATAATCCTACATAACCATTAAACTTTTGTGATTGTGCATGTGTACCAGTTCCCTGTTGATCGCCAAGTGAGCCGTAGAGCTGACCCTCTTCGTCCTGCCAGGATACGACCTGTACAAAGTCCGCTACAAACGATGGAATCGAGCACTTCAACACCGCCGCGTTGCCCCTTATGACGTACTCGTTGTTGACCTCCGATTCGTAGAACTGTTGCACAACTGAAGGTGAGTTCACATAGCCACTGATTACATAACAAAGTACAGGGAGGCAGGGGAATAAGGGGCGCCTTAAGAACCCAAGTCCACATCAAAACCTTGCGTGCGGCGGGCGTGTGAAAATGTGAAGCCAGCTAATTGAAACGAGAGTGTCTTCTAACAGCGACAGACAATATCGCGGAGTGCATTTAATGCGGCTCTGAGCGCAATCATGCTTCCCTGAGAAAGTCTCTGGCCAAGAGGTTAATAATGGTTCTGATAACATGGCTCATCAACACGCAGTCGCCCGAGATAGCGAAGATAAATGCATAAAGTAAACATAAAAGATGCAGTGGGGAAAATGGTAGGGTACTTATTCATAATTCGTTTGTGTCACGCAACTGTACAAACCCTAAGTAAAGTTAACCGAAAAATGTAATCAAAAACTAAGGAACAAACCGTATTCGCTGCCTGGCAGGAAGTCCTCATTCTGATCTGTGTGCCAGGAGACAACGCTCACAAAATCGGCCACAAAGGAGGGAATTTCGCATTTCAGAACAGCCGCATTGCCGCGTATTACATAGGCCTTATTTACATCGGTGTCGTAGTATTGAGCAACGACTAAAACAGCAATAACAGGAATCAAATAAACGTTTTTACGTAATGCAACCGAAAATTTAATGGTTCAGGATAACTAAACACTGAAGTAGCGAGGAAGCGAAAACGAAGGAGCGAAGGATTCCCAACTATTCCATTTAATGCCTAACCAGTGTTGGTTAGTTAAGTTACGTTTTGAGTTCAGTGTGTTGTTTTTACAGATTTTTGTTTAGTGTTGCCTGTTAACTGTACTTGCACTGTGCACAAGTGTTTCTGTGAGTTTGCCGTTGTAGTGTTGTACAGTAGTGGTTAAAGTAGTGCTATTTTTCTAAAAGCTCACAAACAGAGAGAGTACTTCTGGGCACTTGATCACACACCATATTCAGTGCCTGGATAGAAATTCTCTTGCTCATCGCTATGCCAGGATATAACATTCACGAAATCGGCTACGAACGACGGTATATCACATTTCAAGATGGCGGAATTGCCGCGGATGACAAAAGCCTTGTGTATATCCTCTTCATAGTGTTGGGAAACGACTAAACAGGTAGGAGAAAATAAAAGTGAGTTTCAGACGTAAATAAGGAATGAATGAATTATGGATTGGAGGGTTTTTCTGTGACATTTCTCGGAACCGGGACCCCAGCATGCTTTTAGTAGAGCAAAACTATCTTTGTAGATGGGTAGTTCGGTTCGCACCGTATTCCGCTCCCGGGAAGTAGTTCTCCTCCTCGTCGGTGTGCCAGGATACCACCTCGACGAAATCGGCCACGAACGAGGGAATCAGGCACTTGATGACTGCCGAGTTGCCTCGGATCACGTGCTCCTTGTTCACGTCCGCCTCGTAGTACTGGGCGACCACTGGGAAAAGGGCAATCATTACCGATTAGCGTGGTACAAATTCCCACAGTCCACAATTCAACCTTGGACGGGGCTAGGAGCTACATAAGTTCCTGGAAATGTCTGGCTTTATAGCCACGTTCTGGTTTGAAATTCATTAAACAAAAACCCCGAAACTATCAACTTGTCGCTGCCTGGCAGGCAAAGTTAATTTCAATTAACCAAAATATTTTATCCGCCAGCTTGTGTTCAGGGTGCAGACCATAACTCATTTCGGCCAACCAGCTCCGGGCCCGCTGGACAGAATAGTTTTCCTCCTCTGCTCTTTATTCACACATAAGCATACTATAAAATGATAAATTCCTCCGGTTAATAGCAAGCGAAAGCAAACGACAATAATGATGTCAGGCTTGAGGAGCGGGTGCGAACGGGTCGGGAGGTGGTGTTCGGGCTAGGTGTGCTGGCTAATTGCCAGGGAACACGTCAGCCGGCGATGAGTAAGCGGGTGGCATGGCTCCAACATAATTAGCTAAAATGTGCTCAAGTCTGGCCCATTTAGGCACTGCTTCATGGAAGCGGAAGTGGCTGATATCCAGGGAGTTGAGTCTGGCCCGTAACTCGATCAGCTGGCAACCCGTCAGCCCCATACGGTGTGCGCTAAATAGGGTGACAATTTCATCATCATCTGTGTGTCTGTGTACGTCGTCGTCGTCGGGACGTCGGAGATGGCCCATCTTCCAGAGAAGCTGTCAAAGGTTACCATAGACATTCGCAAATGACAGGTACAGTTGCCGACAAAACACTGGCAGAGGAAGTGAACGAACCGATTAAAGTAAAATGCCAACTTGCATTAACTTGCGTTCCCCCAAACGTTGCAAATGCTGGCAATGAAGTGTGTGAAAATGAAAGCGTGCGGAAAACTTTGGCAACTCGCAAAACGTTCGATGGAAATCCCATGAAAACGTTCGATGGAAATCCCGTGAAAACTTTGTTTTAATTGCCGCAACCGGTGCAACAATAAGTCAAACAGAAGGGGTTAAAGACTGCAAAGAGCGACTTGACACGCAATCGCAACCGGCAACATGCAGCCGTGAAACCGAGGTGCGAAGTAGAGGAGATACGAAACCAACGCTGATGTGTCTTCATTTGGGTGTAGCTGCAAAATAATTGGTAAACATAGGGCAGTGCAAGACTGGTAGTTGGTTTTCATACTCAACAAGTTTCCTATTCAATTTATATGTAAATAGGTTTTTCGAATATTTGACTTTTTAATTGTTTTACCTTTAAAGCAAATAATTTGTTCTATTTTTTCTCTTTAAATATAACAAGCCTTGAAAAAATTAATTATTAATTACTTCTGGACTTTTTTTCGCACTTAAAAAAACACATCTATATAGAAAATATATTACTTCTACCCCTTCATCTCAATTGTACATTTATCTTCAAAATGTATCACAAAATTTAAAAAATTTTCCTTTTTCTAAAACAATAAAAAACTGTATAGCATTTATTAAAATTTGCTTTTAAATATGTAATTAAATTTAAACCCTTATTTTTTGTCACAATTAAAGTGATTACCTTATAATAAACTTTGAATAACCATTTAACAAATCGTGAATCAAGCCTGCACTGCCCTAAATGTACCTCTGAACCCTGTTGACTTACCGGCTCGCACGTGCACGTCCCGGGAGATGATGGATCCGAATTGGTTGCGGGCCAGACAGGCGTACACCTGGGCGTGGACCTCCTGGCGGTAATCCTCGGCGCGGAACGGCGGGAAGACCAGCTTGCCGTCGGATGAGATCTGACGTAGTCCGGGAACATCTCCCACGGCGGTGCCGTCGCTGCGGATCCAGATAATCTCGGGCATCGGGTTGCCACTGGCCTTGCACTCGATCTCTGCGCCGGTGGAGTTGGAGAAGTCAATGCGGTTGGTGGGTTCCTTAAGAAATACTGGTCCTTTCTGGTCGGCATCTGGGGGATTGGCAGCAAGGGTCTGACTACCACAAGCTATAACAAAAACAAGTAAATAGTTGTAATAAGATAATTTTCAGATACATGTTACATACGGCAAGTAAATCGACTTGCAGTAATATTATATTAATATGCTACGCCAATATTGGAGATCAAAATCGAACTAATGAATGGCATTTTTTATAGTTTTTTACTTAATAAATAGATTAATATAACTCAATATTGTAGAGTAAATGTAGGTCCCCTCCCTGGATGCGATCATCAAATATTTGGCTACGGTTTATGGTCAGAACATCCGTACCGGAAGTGCATTCTCATATCCATGTCAACAGTGTGGCTATTGTTACACCCATGGTTGTTTGACAATTGTGTGCCATGGATCAGTGACTTCCCAGTGCTGGACCCCCGACAAAAGCTGTATTCAGTTCCATACCTTTTAACAGAACCAGTCAAAGCTCCACTTCCATTTCCACCCACTGCCTCCAATAGCAAACAAAAGACAAGCAGGCTAAAATCGTTCGTTGACACTTTGCAGACTCCACCCATTCCTCTTCGGCCCAGCATTTGTTGATGCCGTCACTGTTGCATTGGCAAACGATTTCATATTTCGCTGTATGCATCGCCATGCCGCTCGGAATTCCCCTCCCCGCCAATTTCCTATTGCGAAAGGTGTTGACGAGCGGTGGCACGCCCCCGCACGCCCCCTTACTCATTTGGTTCGGATGCGATTCTCGAGGCCTGCAATTTGTCTAGGGCGAAAGCTATTGTTAGCTTTATTCGTACAACTAATTTGCGTATGGAGATTAAACAAATAATAAAAAGGGTATTTTAAGAACCAAGGATACGAAGAAAAATAAAAGTAAACAATAAAAAAAAAAGTGAAATTATAATACTTTTAAAGTTTATATACTACTAAAGAACTAGTATTTTAAGATAAGCTTAGAAAACAAAAAATTTAAGGTTCGATAAACGGTAAAAGATAAAACAATCTTGTCTGTTTAATTTTTTTTTTAACAATTTTGAAAGCCTAAAATAATTTTAAGAAATTCTTAAAGTTTATATCAACAGGAAGTTTCGTGAAATGACAAATTGAGACGGAATTTATAAAAACTTCAATTAACGATTTGACAGGAACGTACAATGCGTGCGACTTGTGGCACACACAAAACATTCCAACAAATTACTTTTTTCAATTGATTTCTAACGCACGGGCTGCCGTTTTTCAAATAAATTAATGAATAGCTGCCGTTTTAAGGTTTCAATTAAGTGGGGAATAAGGGAGGCACACAGGAAACGTCGCCTTCATATTTAAATGTTAGAAATTTCCTATAACACAATAAATGTTGCATACGAGATGAGACTCTTAAGAAACAGCAGTACAGTGTGTTAAAAGACAGACAAACATATTTATTTAATTTATTTATTTATTTAAAAGTTTATTAATTATAAAATTAAAAAATGGTGTATTGTTATTTAATCCATCCACTTAAAATTTAAAGTGGATTATATCAGCGGGATGGACTGTACATATAAGCCAACACACATCAAAATATATTACGCAGCATATGGTATCCATACGGAAACCAGAACGTAAATATTTATAGAGGACGTGCGAAAAAAAAACCTCATAACACTGCGGGTAAGGTAAAGGAAATGGGAAAAACGCTTCGGGAATTAAATTTCGCAACTTTTGTTGTTATGGTTGCTTGAAGAGAACAAAGATAATTAATTGTGCAGAATAAATAAATAAAAAATGCAATCCTTTTATTTCCCTCCGCTTCCTTTTTCTACGTTTCTTCTCGAGCTGCGTTTTGAAATTGTAATTTACTTTTTGAGTTGATTTCTATATACATGTTAACAACATTTTAAAGTACACCTGCTTTTTGTTTTGGCTTTGCTTTGTGATGCAGAAAACCAGCAGGTGTATTTTGTTTGACTTTTTTTTCGTTTCCAAAACCCAAAGCTGTGCGAACAAAAAACACGCAGAACGAAACCGGTTAGTAAGCCGGCTTTTAATAAGTACAAAAAGTAAAGCAAAGCAAAGCCAAATCATCACAAAAGCAACCCAAAGCAAAAGCAGAACAGCGATGTCAACGGCGGCAAAATTCACGTTAATCAAGCGCTCGAATTTTTGTTTGCGGAATAAGTTAAGTTTTTCGCCTCGCAATTTTCCACTCAAGAGGGCAATTTGCAAAATTTGATGACAATTCTGCTGATGATGATGATGCAGTTGTCGGCATTTAAGGTCATTTCTTCAAGTTTAAGGAGCAAATGTGACTCAGCTTAAGGTGCTCAATGTTTCCTGTACTTTCTTGGGTAAACAGAAACAGAGAATGGGGTAATAAATAGTAAAATTAACTGGGAAAAATAACAATAAATATGAAGGGGGTGGCTGACAAAACTAACAAACACGTGAATAGCGATGGATCGTAAATAACTGGCAAAAACACGCAATTCAAAAGCTGTCCGATTACGACATTCAATCTATACTAATATTATAAAGAGGTAAAATTTGTTTGTTTGTTTGTTTGTTTGTTTGTTTGTTTGTTTGTTTGCAGGGAATAGGCTTCGGAACTACTGGTCCGATTTAAAAAATTCTTTCGCCGATAGAAAGCTATATTATCGTGGAGTTAAATAGGCTATAATTTATTTTGAAAAAAATTAGGGATCCGTAAGAAAATTGCAATATTGTCGCATATAAAGTGAGTTGCTACCTCATCACACTGACAAACACGCTCCCATAGCATTTTAACTCAATTTTTGTGTTCACTTTGAAATTGTGAAAAAAAAAGAATTTTTATTCAATTTAAGTTGAACTGTGAAAATTATGTGGATCGTGCATTTGAGAATAAATTCACCACTCTGTCCATAGTCCAAAATGCTTAGAGGACGACGTGCAAACATTGGCCGCAGACATCCAAGCCAGCAGCCAGTATATTCACAAAACTTAAGCGAAGAAAGACAAATGAGCACATGGAGATCATTGGCATCATTCAATCGCTTGGCATTCCAATATGATCCCACTGCGAACTACAGTGATAATGAAAATTTAGATATTGTACCAATGGCGACTATATACCGATATTGCAGTGCGTTAAAGTTTAAAAGAGAAACGGCTGGATTGTGCTGCGCAAGTGGAAAAGTCAAACTGGAAAAGTGTTAAATCACCATCTTTCTATACTTCCATATATTTGAAAAATTTTGCAACATTGACTTTTATGTTGTTAAATTGTGTTGACCAGCGAAGCGGACACAGGACCTCTAGTCCTCAATAAAATTAAACAAATATTGAAATTGTATTTCACATCCCAAAAATCGACACTTGAACTGAGTTTTTTTTTTTTAATTAATAATAAAGGTATTATATTCTATAATTAAGTCGTCTCCACAGCCTTACTAATTAGTATAATTCGTGGCACACACAATCCCCTAACACCTCTCAAAGGGGATAATTTGAAACTAATAACTTCCGGCTAAACAAAAACAAAGGGCCTAAAAGTTCAATAAGCACACACGCATGAGCCCCGCCCACCGAAATTAGTCTACATCACGCACTCATGTCATCGAGGTCAGCCACAAAGGAACGAACTGCCCAGGATGTAGCTCCACCCACTTTGAACAGGGAATACATTTGCGCTCTACCTGAACACAATGAATCTCGACTATTTCGCCGCGATTCTGGTCGGTAAAAGAGCTAAAGAGCTGAAACATCTGCTCAAGAGCTTGAAAACCAGTTCGACAGCTGTTCAGTGGAGGCGAGCTGGGGGAAATGGAGAACAGGTATCGGTATCTCAATGCCAGAGTTACCCACTCATTCATGCGAATCGTGCGGCATTTACCCACACACTCATCACGATCAGTTGCAGTCCACGAAACATTACCAATTACCTGTGTGGATATATGTATGTACAAATGAAAAGAAAAAAGCATATCGGAGAAAACCCTTTGGAACTAAAATTATCTCTTATTTTAATCCAAAGTTTGGAAAAAATACACCTTGTTAAAAAGTTTTAAAACAATTGCTACTCTAGTATGCCAGATATCCTTTCCAAAAATAGTCGCATTGAATTTGTTCCCTTTAATGTTATTTATTGTGTTTTCATAAAAGAGAGTAATACTGGCCTTGACATACAAATGTAAAAATCTGGAAATCTTTCCAAAAACCTTTATTATCAAATATCGGTCTACCTAAATTCAATGTAAAGAATCTTCTTTAAACTGCTGATTAGCATATGGAAGAAAACTTTTTAAAAGGAACTTAATAACTTGAGATATAATGATTTTTCTGTTTCAATGCTTGAAACAGTTCTTATCTTACAGTGCATACCCACCAAATAATTATTTAATGTGTGACACAGATAACTGCAGACGCACTGCCCACGCTATTCTAAGCGCTCTTAGTTTAAATAGCTTGCCACCTTCAGTTTGCCGTCAACTGCAAGTCACCCGCGAAGAGGTCCGAAGACCGCAAGCTGCCCATAACGCAACCTACAGGTAAATACGTATACCTGTCCACCTCAACGTAACTCAGAAGTTGACAGGGAGTCACGGTGACGACACGCCGCACTCGACAACGAGAGTTCAGCGGAAAGCGGAAAGAGGGAAGAGAGCGGAGAAACCGCAAGCCACCTCAGCCAGGTGCGAGAATCGGGAGTGGAGAGGTGTGCACGTGAGGAACACCGTTAAGTCGACAAGAGACAAAAGTGGGACGAACTAGAGCAGCCCACGTGGAAGCTACATAGATACATTTCAGAGGGGTGACGGGGTTTCAGGAGTGATGATGATGCGGCTGATTCCAGTGTCAGTGGATGTCACGCCACAGTGGGTCAAAATCTATTTCATACAAATGCTTTTGAGCAGAAGGCGAAGTACTAACGGAGTATATAGCAGTATAAACAAAAACTTCATATATCACTAAACAAAAACTTCATTAAATCATATAACAAATTTCAAGTTTTTAGGAACAGTTTAGTAAACTTTACTAGCTTTCTACTAAATTAAATAGGACTTTAATTTTAAAATAATTTGTCCTGAAA